TGACGTGCCGCGAAGTAAAATTATTTTTTGTTATTCCTTTTTCCGCCATAAACACCCCTCGCATTCACCCTTAAACTAATGGTGCGCGGTGGCGGTGAGTGCGTCCGGGTTAGAGGGTGGTGCGGGGGTGCGGTCGGGGAAAAGGGATCGTACGGTCAGTCCTGTGAACCAGTCCCGAAGGAAACGCGTATGGAGACAGTCTAGGGTACTCCAAAAAGAAGGCTACCGACGCCACGCCACGTCATTTTGTTTTTTTTTTTAGTGCTGGATTTCAATGAAATCTAGTTTTTTTCCGGAGCATCCTTGCTCCTTGATCCCCCGGGAAATCGGTGAACCCACCGCGAGACTATTGTGCGCGCCCGGAGACCAGACTATTTGCCCGCCGCGGTACGTGGGACAATTGTGCGCGCCACAGGTACCCGAGCCATAGACTCCCATAATTTTAGTTTATTTTATATATTATTAATTGTAGTTGGTTGCAGTTCCGTTTGTTCGTTGTTGCTTTGTTGTTTGTTTTTTTTGTTTTTTGTGTTGTTTGCTTTTATTCTTGGTATTTTACATTGCGCGCAAGCAGGGGGGGTACTACCCAAAAGAAGTACGTGGCATCCCGTCCCGTGGGAAAACCCCACGGTATCCATTAAATTTTGTGCGTTGGGCTTGGGTTTTTATTGGTGCGCATCCACCATTCCATCGCTCAAAATGCAGGGACAGGGTCGCGATTCCCATTCCGGGGGAGAGACTCCGGAAATGCCCTCCGCTCACAACTCGAGCGAAGGGAGGGGGGATCTGCGCCACACCGCGTTCCAGGAATTAAACGACCGTCCAAGATAGTACTGTTAGCACTCTATCCATCTTCTTCACTTTTATAACAAACTAGAAACAAACAAATAATAATCTCCCTTGCCTCTGCTATAACCCTTGTATAGTACCACGTGCGCTTCCACTCAGATGAGGAAATGAAATGCATAGATGAACACCTTCTCTAATACTCGTCTTTATCGTTGCGGGTTGCGGCACCGTGTACACGTCACTCGAGGAGATTATCAAACGCGAATTAAACCATACTTTGTGCGCTTGCGCTAGGAAATCCTGTCAACACCAGAATCCAGTCAACATGTGATGTAAAATTGAAGGTCGAAATCCAGTTGTTGTGAGTAAATGTAAACACAACAACTATGATGTCTACGCAATTTAACTGATTTAAAATCACTATAGCACGGACTACTCACTATTATAGTCTATAGTCATGGTGACGATGTAGAACAATTGCATTTATCAGACGTCGAACAAAGAATGATTGCTGCGAAACTTACCCTGGAAGTTCCAACAAAAAGGTAAAGTTTAAAATACGGTGAAATATTTAACAAGTTTTATTTTTATGGTACACCTACGCAATGTTATTTATTTGCCAAAATCTGCTTCCAAATTTTGATATAAACTATATTTAATTTTATCTAAATTATTTGCAAGCTACAATAAGATCTTATTCTAGCATTAAATTAAAAGTGTTCGTGATGAAATGGCACTGGATATGAAAAGAATCGATTTAATAAACAAAGATGACATCAGACATATACAAGATTTCCATGGAATTCATGCAAAAGACGACTGTACACATCAGGATGATTCAGCAAGTGTCCATTTGTGGGTATTAGAGTGTCAGGAAACTAATTAATTAAATATAGTTTTATATGCCCCAATGTGTAAAAGCACAAGAAAATCCATCATTGCAAGACAAATATTGTTGTTTAATCATCAGGAGTACTGTACATAAAGAAATGCTTTTAAACTTTGAGTGCCATATAATTGGGTGATTTTGAGCTTAGTACTATTTTGGTAACGGTTTTCCTGTAGCATTTATGTTTTCTAACAAGAAATACCCTTTAACTTATTAGACCATTAAGAAACATGTTGGTATAATTAAACCTAACGTTTTTATGTCAGATATGACCAATACGTTCTACAATGCAGGGGGCAAAACAATTGGAAGGGTTCCAAATCATTTACTATGTTCATGCTAATAGAGGGTGGCAATAAAAAACACTGAGAACAGGGCTTGGACTTATGAAATGTTAAAAGAACTTCAGAATGTGCTAATTTTTTTCAATGCCTTAACAATTTCTGAGAAATAATGTTTAGTGACGATGACACAAGCCTTTGAAACTTATTTTTCCTAAAACTATGCTGGACGTTTTCAATAATGTCCTTATTGATACAAAAAAGGATGCAGAATAAATACCAGCATGGCTCTCGAAAGCTTTCATGGAATATGAACATATTTTTATGGAAAAAATGGTAAAGAAAAAGTCTTGCTGTACTATCAAATGTATTTTTGTAACATTTGCTTACATTCATTTACCTGTAGTTGTGTTATTTAATGAGGAATACACTTTATAAACATGCTCATTTTGTTGGCCTGAGGGAGATATCACAATGCCCGGGTTTCTTAAAGTTAAATAATTAATGTTTTAGGTCGGAAAATATGCTGCAAATGCTCAGTTATAATTCGAATCAAAATGATTAAACGTTCATTAAAAGGATAAAATTCAATCTAGTTTTGTTCTGGTTTGTTCAAGTAAAGAACTTGTCATTTCTTATAGTTCAGCAAACAATCATCAGTAATTTAAAATTAGATACTATTTATCATTGAATATGTAATGCATGCAGATATTTTGAAATATGTATTTCGGTTAGTTAAGGTGAAAGGTACTTAAGTTTGTTATATGGAGCAATATTAAATAACTACAGACATATGGTATTCGTTTTATATCTTAATGTTATATAGGCAAGTGCGAGGTGAGGTAGATATAAGAGCAGAAAAATAATAAATTTATTTGAAACATTCCCGTTTTTATTGTTTATCCCGCCATTCCATTTTGCACTTTGCCGGTTAACAGGGTCTAGTTTAGAATGTTAATTCTCTCAGAGTCTGAGGTGTATCTGATTTAGGTTTTACACACTTGCTCTCTGAATTAAGTTTTCACTAACTGTTTACAATGGTGGTAGAAGTTAATATCTACGTTATATTCATATTACTATCTGTATCACTTTTAAAGACTACAATAAAAATAGCATTTTATAATTGATAGGAGATAAATTACGTTATCACTAAAAAGAAATACATATTCACCTAACTCCAATAAGTACGCCATGCTTTACTATTACATTTTAAGAAAATATATACAATTCGTTCTAATGATATATAAAAGTATTATCACAATAGAAATTATTATTTGAAATAATATACAGCAACATTGCAAGTATGCTATACTATAGTTTCAGTGGCAACAGGGCATTAGAAGGATGCTTGCGCCTAACTTCACGCCCCCGCATGAAATAGACAGACTCACGCAAGCGCATAAATAACGGCTCAGTTCGTGTTTGATCCTCTCCTCGTCACTCGCGACATCATGTTTATTAAAACTTACAATACACCATTACGATTTGTTCTCCGATATAAATAAAACCTCAACAAATAAAAAAATAACTAAGAAAGTAAAACGCAGCAAACTGCATTTAGGAATGTTTTTAAGAAATGACTTAGATAAGTAGGTATATGTTAAGATGAAGATCAATATTTATAAAACAAAACAAGAAAAAACCCTTGCGTAATGAAGTATAGTTTAAGTATTTTCTTAGCAACACTGTATTAAAGGCTATACAGTAGTATAGAATTGAGAAAATTACTGTACCATTGGCAACCCTCGATCAACAGATAGTTTGCGTCAATAGACCCAGTATGTTGTCTGGAATTATTGACACTGTAGTAACGGAAATACTGCACTGTAACTTACAAAATCTAAACTTATACATTTATAGGCAACATCATTTATGTTAAATAACATAATGCCTTCACTTAAATTTTCAACTTTAAAAATACCTATCTCAGACGACTTACATGGTGAATAGGTTTACAATTATATTTCCTCCCAAGAATGTAAGAACCTTGTTCAGCGACTCCAAAGTTAACAATTTGTATAATGACACTATTTTCTAAACAGCAAGTGTTGTTGGGCGAGTCAATCTTTAATACAAATTTATCAAAAACAGCACTTCGATATTGATCCGAAAAATCAATATGGAGTAACACTGGGCCATGAGAATGTCTTTCTTTAAATATTGGATGGAATTACTTTTTCTGCCTTGCTCAGAAGAAAGCCTTTCGCTATATCTCTTAACAATTTGCTGTAATGGCTTTTCACGTTTGCGAATTAACTTTCAAATGCTTTGCAAAACATTTTCAAAGGGAAATGCACTGAACTCATCAACAGGGCCATGATTTTTTACATCGTCTGTCAGGTGTAATAAGTTGTGAACATTATGAGACATATTTTGTTTTTTTTTTAAATATAAAATTTTAGACGTTGTGACAAAATGTTCCAAGAGATCAGCGGCATAATCCAATATGTCAATATGTTTTACGCATGAAAGTATCGTTAAAGCAGTGTGCAGTGACAATTTTTTTTATATCTATCGGGATTAATGTTATTTTTCAACACTAAAACACCCGTGTAAAATAAAAATTGTCGATACTCTGTTGCCTTCCATCTTTTGAGTTCATCTAAGCTCCGAGGTTTCCCGTTAAACTCTAAAGGCATTTTGAGTGAAACTGCAATTAAAGCATCTGAAATAGAGGCTATTTTGTTAGCAGATAATTTTGTTGGAGGTTTTCCACAACACCACAATAACAAGAGTTTTTTAGTAAGACCCAAGCAAACCAACAGCATATAGTCTAACGGAAAAGATTTGATCATGTCAAGTTTAGGTTGTTTTTCTAAAATTGACTCCCCAGTATGATGGCTGTCATCCGTTTTTTGGCGGAAATCACAATCTGTCGTTGTTATACGTAGGCTATGTATGTCAGGAAAATACACCCTGTCAGAGTAATTTCCTTCAACATTACATTTTGAGCATGAAGAATAGCCAGAATGACCTGCATGCATGACAATGCATTTTACATATAATTTTGCAGGAGCGTCACAAATAAATGCTTTGATATATACTGCAAACTGTTGATTTTAAGACAAGAAACCTTTATTGATAACTTCAGTTGCATCGTGCACAAAGTCGGACAAAAATGCATTGGGGTGTTGTGGCTTCTGATTGCCATGGTACAACCCTATCATTTCTACAATGTTTTAATTGCCCGAAATACGGCCAAATTTATTGCCCGTCGGGGATTGAAAAACCAAACTCGTTCACTTTCGCTAAATCCGACTTGATTCGTTCTGGCGTCATATCGGCTCTTCGTTCGATCAGATTCGATCTTCAATTTTGTTCTGACCTCATCGTGTACAAGTTTCAGTTGTTCTGCTAGCTTGAGTCCATAATCTTCGCCAATTTGTAAATCTTCCGGTTTTCCTGTGAGTATATCAATGGGAAGTCGCAATTCCCTCCCCAAATAAGATTTCTGCCAAAGATTTGCCAGTGGATTCATGGACTGCTGATCGATAGGCTAATAGGAATGGAGCAAGTTGCGTATCCCAATTATCCTGCTTATTGTTGACCACAATTCTCAGATAGTTATCTATGGTTCTGTTAAATCGCTCTACCATGCCATCAGATTCTGGGTGCAAAGGTGTTGTTCTTGTTTTGTGAATTCCCAACAGTTTACACATTTCTTGAAAAACTGAGGATTCCAAATTTCTGCCTTGGTCCGAATGGATCTCTCTAGGACAGCCAAAATTACACACCCAGTTTTGGAAGAGCACATCTGCTATGGTGGTGGCTTCTTGATTAGGAATTGG